TATTCGGAAAACTCGTCACTTGTAGCTGTGAATAATTTGGTTTATTTGAATTCCGATTTAGTCACCTCTAGGTCAATATTTCTAAACAAAAAACCCCATTTTTCCTAAGGTTTTACTGTAAAATACTGGCAAACAGAGTCTTTTATGCAAAAAAGTTAAAAGAAGGATTTACAAGAAAAGTCGTCGTCTTTACAGTATGGTCTTCTTTATCGTCTTTTTCAAATACCCATTTTACCTTTGAATTTGGGACAAAATCGAAACAAAATTATCTTGTTTTTTTTGGGCAAAATTCAGGTTTCTCCAAAAACGTCCGAAGAAAGCAAAAGCATATAATGAATATTTGGAAAACTCGTCACCCTCATCGCTCTGAAAGTTTTTAAAGTTTCATGAAAATTTCCGGAATTTCCCGTTTTAAACCAAACAGTTTCAAGCAATGGTTCAATGGTTTGCGCCAAAGCAATATGTTGATGGCTTTTTTTGTTAGATCTTAAAATTCCGTCGTCGGCCATGAGTTATAACTCATTAACCAAGGAGTTAAAACTCATTAACTCAGAGAGCGGCAACAACTCAACACAGTGTTACCCAGACCTACTTGCATGAACTTAGAGGCGCTACTAAATAAATAACAAGCAACGTGCAACACAAGAGATCAGGATCCGCTTTTTTCGCTCGTTCGATCATTTTTTCCTGTTCAGCAGAACCGGCAGATTGCCATGAAAAGAGTGTCGCCTTTAGACCGGGCGCCACTAAATCCATGCATGCTTAAACTCAACATAAGACAATTAATGGAAAACATGCAGATAAAAGTTCGCAATTTAACATCATCAGTAATCGCTAGAAGCTAAGCGCACAATAGCGCCCCATACACGAGCGAAATATCTGTCATATCTGATACGTGGCGAGCCAAATTCGAAGAAATATCGGTGCGTTAATGGTTAATCACGAGCAAGATACAACTCGATGCGAATTTCGTACAAAATAAATCTGCAGATCTGCACTTGCGGACCAAATTTCGCCCTTAGTGGGTACGGGCGAATACTAGTATCAGATATTACTTATACTATATAAGAAAACTTCCTAAATTTCATCAAAAACGACGATTTTGAGCTGAAAAGATACTTAGCGCGTTTAGTTAGCGAGAAAAACACGTTTGTGTTGTTTGGACCAACATTGTACGACAAAGTTAAATTTTGGAAGAGAAACCAGCTGAAAAATAAATTTTTACAAAACTTCTTAAATTTCAACAAAAGCGACGATTTTGAGCTGAAAAGATAATTAGCACGTTTAGTTAGCGAGAAAAACACGTTTGTGTTGTTTGGACCAACTTTGTACGACAAAGTTAAATTTCCGAAGAGAAACCAGCTGAAAAATAAATTTGCACATTATTATACATTATATATACCGCCTAAGCAGTCATGCTATTGCCATACTTAAGCGCCTTAAAGAAAATACATATTTAACATTTTAAATTTAAAATTTAAATTTGGCTATAGAAAATATCCAGTAAATAGGCGGTCTATTAATTTAATTTGTGTCTTCGTTGGGCCGAAGAAAATGAATTGCCACTGTATGAAGTGATTCTTCGTATTTGAATTATAGATATGTTACAGACGCTATACGGCACGGAGGTTTGCGGCTAAACCGTTTGATTTTTAAAAAGTATTATTTATGAATTGTCCGACGCCTACCGAGCGCATATTTTAAAAATATTTTTGTAATGTACAGGGTGTCCCAAAGGCTCTAAAGGTATCAAAGTTGCG